ACGTTAAGCCAATGCTCTCGGCTGTATCTGCAGTTGTAATCATCATTGGGTCTTGGCCCATCCTCGTTGCCAGTGGAAACATAAAAAGGCTGAAGATAAAAATTAAAATTTTTATAAAATTAATTATTGTGTTTCGTATGTTGATCCTTGACAGTTCCCTGAGCTTTGTACAGCCGCACTGTAGACGGATGTGATGTTTACTCAGCTGATCGACTTTAGCTGTGCAAATGAATTACGCTATTCTATATTCGGGCTAGACGCCTAATTTGACGGATCTTTTACCCAGATGGCTACGATATATTCATTATATATTAACAATTTAAACTTTGAATTTCGACCAAGTTGATTATATTGTTTTTAATCTATTTATTTCGGTTACTGTCTGGTAATTTGTTATTATATGATGTAATGCGCGGCAAGAAGAACCATTTAATTATTCCATACTAATATTATACAGGTGAAAGTAGTATAGCAGTTATTCTCTCACGCCTAACCAATTAAACAGAGAGATAAAAGGAGGATAAGAGGAAATAAGTAATTAAAGGTTTTACAGAAGTTCATCATTGTTAAAGATAAAATCATGAAACCTTATTTCTGGTATTTTATACGACATAATAAATAGATTATATTCGTTTGAGAAATGCTGCTCAAATTAACTATACCAAGCGGACTAAGTCGCGGGCAAAATCTAGTACTCGCGTACGATGTAGTTTTCCGTAGGTAAAAAAAGTTAAAAATCGGTCCAGTAAATTCGGAACTTATACGATGCAAATAAAACAATTAAATCTTTTTTCTTTGTAATATTATTTGATACAAATATAATGATAATGTGAATAAAAAAGGCGAGAAAATAATTTCAGAGTAGTCTCTTCACAAGGACTATCGCTTCCACAAAGTGCGTAATCTTTTCAGTTACATATATGTAATTGGTGACCCATATGACTATGATTTTGTTTACACACACTATTTCAAGGACTAACAATCACTAGTTAACTATTTATTACTCATTTTATTATATACTACTGCAATCACATTAGTTCTATGTTTGACTTCTATAAAGTAGTTACAATTTAAAAAAAAGCAATGCAATAGCATAGAACCAACGTTACTGATATTGCTCTAAGAATTGCTCAGCTGAAGTGGCAGCGGGCGGGATACATAGCTCGAAGAACCGTTGGCATTAGGGGCGGACAAGTTCCGGAATGGCGATCGCGTACCGGACGATGCTTAGGGTGTAAAGAGGGTCCCCATCAGGTGGAACGACGATCTTACAAATGTTACGGGAAGCCGCTGGATGCGGACAGCGCAGGACCAATCGTCATGGGATCAATGTGGGAGGCCTATACTTAGCAAAAGGCATCGTACGGCTTTTAATTGATGAGTGGAATATTCACAAGGCGGTCTTCTTTACAAATCTAGGCACTTAAAGAGTTTAAGAATAAATAAAAATAAATTACATTTTTAAGTTCCGTAAAATTATAATTTAAATTCATTTAATGATATTGTGACTTACATACACTATAATATTTTATAACTCTTTGTTATAATATTTCATTTTATTATTCACTATGCTACATTGATATCTACGAGTATCTTAAATAAGAATATTAAAATATGTCCACCATAAGATGACCAACATGGATTTCAAATCCATAATTTTCATTTTATATTATATTTATTAAAACTGTTAAAAATTTCAATGTCTACAAGCAAAACATTGATTAAAAGGAGTTTCCAAAAACTTGTGTGTAAATTCTATTGAAGGAGATGAAGAAATATTTTTTTTTTCATAATTATACATATTGATGAAAATAGTTTACTGGTAGCAAAAGTAACAAGTGCTTGAGAAATGGGGTCTCTCGGTCTCATGAAGCTAAATTGGTTTCAGCAGTCGCCCGGATTACCATCGGTTATTAGGATCGAATCTCATCTTGGGCACCTGCTACTGACTATTTTTTCAAGCACTTTTCTTTAAAATACACTTTAGGATGTGAAAAGCTGTGATTATCCAAATTTTTTCAGTATAAAAGAGCTGCTAAAATTAAAGTTTTCTTAATAAAATTAACGGACTCCAATAAAAATTTACAATAACAATGAAAAATATGAGCCTCATAAAGTTGTCCATCGAAAAAGGTATTGTTAAGGAGAGCGTTTTTATGAAACCAACCATTAATCATCTGGAGTACAGTCGAGAACACTTGGGATACGTCATTTATGTGTTTAATATTTTTTAGGGCGAAAACAATTCTAAAGCACACACTCCGGGCACGACATGAATCAAAAACACGCAATTTTGACGTTAATGAATATTGTTTTAAGGCTGATATTCTGAAAACTGAATTCGTTTGTTTATGATATTTTTTATTTAATGCTCATTAAAGAGACATTGAATATTTTGCAAAACGTTTTATCACGGTTATTTGTATGATGATCTTGTTATTTTGAGTAACGACATGATCACGTGTATGAATTAATCAAATTTTCTTTAAATTTTTTCCTATAGTTTTTTTTAATGTAATTAAAGTTCAAAGTCCGCAGAATTTATCTGTCTGTAATTATAAATCGTGGTATTTCAACTTATACGTATATCTAATTTTTATCTTGTATTTCCGTTAATGGCGTGTAATCGTTTTGTTTTAATGTCATTATATTATAAGCACTTCAGGCGTACTAAAGCTTAAAACTGAATATTCGTTTGTCGTCAAAATTGTATCTGAAATGGAATTTTGTTTGATAATCTATTGTTGACATCTATTGATATCAGATGATTAAAACTGCATCATGAATTTCACAACAAAATCAACGCTCTGTAAGTATACGCATTTATGTTAAATAGATAAATAACAATAATAGCTATTAAAGTATGGCCTTTGTGACCCACTTTTGGAGAATATTCAACGTAAACAAACAATTTTTTTTTTTTCTATTTATAATAATTAGAGATAAATTCCATATACCTAATATTGGGCTTCAACGAATTGAGAATTCAGTTTCCTTCTAATAACCCAGACAAACTAAGGAGCAAAGTCACTTAAAAAAAATCTTAAACTCTTCCGAAAATTGAAATAAGTCGGTAAAAGTTCCAAATTTATAAGATGGAAGTCTTTTTAATAACCAGATGTGACTGTATGCGTCATAAGCAGTATTTCTTCAAAGACTCACTCGATAGTTTCAAATATATAATTATTCCTTTACAGATTCCCAAATAATTTTGCAATTCTTGATATTGGGATGCTACAGTGCATGTTCCACATTACCAAGCCGTGATTTGTGTACCTACACTGTGGCATGCGAAGGTCGCCCAGGCTCCGTCCAGACACAAGTAACATCATGTGGTGAAAAAATAAATGTTACGTTTACCATAACAAAAACCGCTATACCAGTTCTTTCGACGTCATTTTTCAGTTCCACTAATTTTGATAGCAGAGTAAGAGCTATCATAGCTAAGAAGAATGAATGGCGAACCATAGAAAGCAACGCGTTCAAATACTATACCAAAAGCAAAATGATAGATTTAAGTAATAATATGATTTATCAGATAAATAACGATGCTTTCATACATCTGATGCAGCTAGTATCTTTAGATTTATCTAATAACAATATCGATAACTTACAAGTAAGGTCTTTAACTATAGGCCAAGGAAACTTATTAGAGAAGCTAGATTTGTCATATAACAGGTTGACTGACTTACAAAATAATGTCGTTTCCACTTTTACGAATTTAGTTACATTGAATTTACAAAATAATAAATTAAGATCGCTATCGGATGACTGTTTCGACAATTTAAAAAGTTTGAAATACCTGTATTTACAAAATAATGAGTTGACAGGTCTCAACGTTATATTATTGCCGGTAATAGCATTAGAATATCTTGATATATCTTGTAATAAAATTAAAAAAATGTTTAGTTATGAAACAAATCGTTTAAGTGCTTTAGTTTATTTGAACGTTTCTTACAATGGTCTCGAAGTAGTAGAGAACGGTTGTTTTATACAAGCTAATAAATTACAGTCTCTAGATTTAAGCCATAATGAAATCAACTCCACTATAGAATTTACGATGTTCATGTATAATCATTACTTGACTTATCTGAATTTATACGAAAACAAAATAACAACTATCAAAGATCTCTCTTTTGCTTCATTTCAAATCATGAAAAATATAAATTTAGAAAGAAACAATTTATCAATTGATATAGGACGTGATACCTTAAAGGGCCTTTTTAATATAAGCGTCTTCAATATTACTCAACAAAATGTTACCTCGATCAGAGAAAAAGCATTCGCTGATATGCAAAATCTACAGTATTTAAATTTAAGCAGGAATAACATACAAGTTGTTGATAATACAAGTTTTCAGTTTGAATTGAAAAATGCTTTAATGGTTTTAGATTTTTCATATAACCATATAGGCAATTTATTTTTCTTGCAATGTTTTGCCAGTAATTTGACAGAAATATATATCAGCAATAATAAAATTTCAGTGATTACAAAAGGCATATTTGACAATCACAATAAACTTATCAAATTGGATGTTTCCTACAACGAAATAGTAGCTATAGAACAATATGCTCTACCTTTGAAAAGGCTACGATATTTAAATATCGATAAAAACAATTTAAGGGGTGATCTAACAAAAAACATTTTTAGCCCGGCTCCTTTCATTGAATATTTGGACATATGCGATAACAAATTCAAAAGAATCAACGAAAGTGCCTTTGTGGACTTACACATTCTAACCAGACTTAACTTATCAAACAACGACATTGAATATATAGATTCTTACAACTTTAAAAATATGGAAAGGATTGTCATCTTAGACGTTTCTCATAATAAACTAGTGGAATTAGATATTGATATTAGTATAGATAATTTGAAATATATCTACTTAAATAACAATAAATTTACTAGACTGCCAAAGCTGTGTTCAAAGGTATCAGATATACTTTACATTGATATTTCTTATAATTTTGTTACTGATCTTGATAATTCTGGCTTTGAGAATATTCGTAATGTCACAGTTTTCAAAATGTCAAATAATAACATTAAAATTTTCAATAATGAAAAAACTAATAATCTAACTTACTTAACAAATTTAGTTCTAAATGTTAATAAAATAAGTGAAATCAAATTATCTTATTTTGAAAATCTAATCAATGTAGAACTTAATAATAATAACATAAGTTACATAAATAGTACTACATTTGAAAATTTAAGGTCACTAGAATATATTGATTTGAGTATAAATGAAATAAGTGAAATCCCACCGGGCACTTTCCAACATTTAACAAGTCTGACGTTTTTGAACCTTTCGTCGAATTTTATAACAAACTTAAGATATGGTAGCTTCAGAGGTTTGACCAATATTAAAATACTAGATTTGTCTATGAACAAGATAACTTCTTTAGATGTAACTGTTTTTCACGAATGCATTGGTCTCGAGAAGTTAGTAATAGATTATAATATGATTAAGAACATTAATGTAGACGGACTGATGGATACTGCAAGAAATTTATCATCTTTAAGTCTTGGAGGTAATCCAATAGCGTGTGAAGAAATTGTAAGAGGCGTTCAGCTGAATGAAAAAAGGAAAATTCAAATCACATCTATAAATCAACATATTTATGAAGACAACGTTCACGGTATAAAATGTGGTAACACGAATTATTATAGTTCTTCTACCGAAATGACACTTATCAAAAGTGTAGACAAAAACATGTTTCCAGCAGGAGTAGGGAATTCAACCACAACTATTTTGTTGACATGGTGTGCGGTTACAACAATTTTGGTGCTTTTCGCTATGTTTGGATATTTTTATTATATCAAACGTCATATGAGTATTCCAATGAGAAGGGATTATTTTCGCAATAATTCATTAAACATAAGTTCTATTGATAATCACACCGATCTGTTAAGTTAGTGTAAGTAATTTGATTGTATCAAAATACAGGTATCAATGCTCAAATTTCAATATTGTGTTCATAGCAGGTACAACCTGGTTACCGTGTGAACCAGGTGTTTGGTAACCGATTTTAGTTGAAACAACTACAGTTTGTTTACCTATTAAATAGTAAATCAAACACAAAAATGTTATTGTTATTGGCAAAACACTATAGCAAATATTAGAGGCACCTTTGTCCCGGATTCGAGTAAGTCGGGTCAATTTAGAACATGAACAATATAGGAAATATTGTCCCGTGTCTGGGTGTTGGGATAATATGAGGGCTTTTAGACACTCCTTTTGAAATGAATGTATATGATATTCTCTTACATTATATTGATCTACAGTCATATATTACAATGTTATGTTGTTCTTCTAAACAATATTGTTTTGAACATAAGTATAATTTAAGTTATTAGTCATCATTTAATCTAAATTATAAAGTATCAGTGAAATAGTTACCAGATTACCTGTATATTTGAATAAATATTTCTTTTGCATCTTGTTTTTGTCATTAATTAGCACTCGTACATAATTTATGTTAATATTTACAATAAATTTTCAAATTAAATGTTAACTGACACATATAATTAGTTTATTTCGTTTGTGAACTCTACTCAGTATTAGAAATATAATTTAACATATTAGTTTTATAATTAACGTACATATATATTAGATAAATGATGACACGTGTATACATTTTTTTTTTCAAAAATTTAATTAAGATTAAAAATTTATACCTCTCGTGCCAAATAGCCGTGATGTTTCTTTTGTGACATTTAAAAAAATTACTTAAATTTCCAATTTTTGATAAAAACATGGAATGCGTTGAGAGTTCGATAGCTCAGTGGTTAGCTCGTAGAAGTTAAGCAACTTTCGCGAGATCCAGTCATAGGATGGGTGACCAAAAATGATTATCTCGAGCTCCTCCGTGATTCGAAAGGTACGTTAAACTGTTCGTCCCGGCGTTGGACCCGCGTAGTGGGTCATATCTCATTGTCCCTATACGATTGTATCCATAACGAAGCCCTTTGCGTCAGCATAAAATAAAATAGGCTGATTATGATGATGCGTTTGAAGCATTTAGCTCCTAATTTTATATTTTTTGTTTTATTTTTATTAACCGACTTCAAAATCGAAAAGGAGGACATTGTGTTATAGGTAGTAGGTATAGTGTAGACCGATTTTCAAAATCTAATTTTTATTAGATAATTATAATTCATATAATTTGGTGGACCCGTATAATTTTATCTGTAGCTTTGTTTAAAAACAAAACAACTACGAGTATCACATCAATGAGACATCAGCGAAAAAACAAAAGATTGTGATGTAAATAATACTTACCTTAAATCGACTCAATTATTCAAGAAATTGCTATTGTACTCGGGCGGCTATCATATACTCGCAGTAACATACAGGACACCTCCACCCGACATCAATTACAGTTTCTTGAATAATTAAGTCGCTTTAAAGATTAGTATTATTTCTTCCTTTTTTCAAGTCTGAAGTATGTTATATTTAAAAAATATATATAGCACAGGTGGTCACGCTCCCATTACAGTAGTGTATAATAATTACATGTCAAATAGAGTAACCTAACATTTGATTAACTAACCTAACCTAACATTTGATTGCGCACAATCTATATGATTGATCCAAATTACACTTTCCCCCCAATTTTACTTACTTTGTTCCAGAATATTAAACCCAAATGAGGGCACGACAAAGTCTGATTTTCCTTTATACCAACATTAGTTGTTCTATAACGTAATTTTGCTAGATATTTTATTGATACCCCTGTGATTGGTAGTGAATTGCTACGGATTTGATTCGTTATATTATTTTATTAGGATATAAGAAGCTTTATTAGTTATCTTGTTTATCTGAATATAATCTTAAGTTGACAAATTTTGTTTTTGTTCTACTTATGTCAATTTTGGTAGAATATGTTATCTCAAGCATATAAGCGGTGGGAATGCTTCTATTCTTCTATCTAGAGAAAGTTCCAATTATTTTTTTCGAAAGGTCATTTTTCATAGCATAAAGCATCAGTGCAGTGAAAGCTCAATAGGGATGACGATTAACTCTTCTATGTTTGTCCTTCAAGCTTCAAGCAAACCCTTTTTTCTATGCCTTTTATTCTACGCCTATTATCTATGCTTTTTCTTTTTAAATTGAAGCAAAAAAATAAGTATCCATTTTTTTTCTTTTAACTGACTGACGGACTAAATAGAATTTATTTATTTTTACTTAGGCATAATCCTTATTGGCACAATTATGCTGTGACATCGCTGAGCTCGATATCGAGTACGATGCAGATTTTATTACAGAATAGCATAACAGAAATTACAGATCGAACTTGCTAATCGTTTTGCTAACTAATATTTATTCAGTAAATTATTTAACCAAGTGGCGAGGTAGTCTGTTTCAAGATGTTGCCATATCGGTGGTCTCAAGTTCGATTACCGATTCAACGGAAAATGGGCTTTTTTGTATTGTTAATTAATGTAACGTTACCTTCGTTGTTTCAAATTATCTAATTGAAAAGGTTGGAGTTATGATTTTGGTGGTCCTTAATCATCATCATCTACCCTTTTTAAGTCCTCACTGCACTCAGGGCTTCCTAATAGCTGATTGAGGAGGATGGACCATAATACTCCATGCTGGCCCAATGGTCGGTATTCATGACTGAAAGACAGTCGGGCTAACGGCTTTACGCGCCTTCCGAAGCACGGAGTAGCTAATAATTTTTAGGTCACCCATGCAGTGACCGACCTTTGCGAAAACTGCTTAGCAACATCTATCGCGGATTGCGGCGCTTATCAATTACGATCGAGCATAGTATCTAGCTACTGTTGTCTAATAATAATAGAAATCATATAAAGCAAAAACGACCCTTATAAAGTTTTCCATGGGAAAAGGTACTGTCAAGGAAAACATTCTTATAACGCCATTAATCATCTCTAGTACAGTCGAGAATGCTTGGGAGACGTCATTTGTGTGTAATAATAAATTTTTGTCCGAAAACGATACTTAAGTACGTGCCCCGGGCGTAACATAAATCAAAGTACATAAAATGAACTTTACTAAGCCCTTGTCTTAAGATGTACATTGGAAGAACTGGATACTCCGCTGCTGGTTTCATATTAACGATTAAAATTTTGGGCGTGATATAATAACTGTATCGATTCATATTTTGAATTATAATCAGAGTAGAATCATTGCTTCGGGAGGTGGAGTATCGGACAACGTAACACTTGTACTTGACGACGAGCTTTTGACTGTCAATTTACCTATCCTTATAGGCCCAGCTTGGGAACAGATTGAAAGAAGATTATTGAATACCCTTTTCGTAAATGCTCGCTTGAATACCCTTTTCGTAAAGCGCAATCGTTTTGTGAGCATTATAACTATTGTAATTAATCTGGTTTGTTCCAAGTAAAAATGGAGACAGAGTTTCGTAAGCAGTTTCTTTCAAAATCCATTTTTTTTCAGTGATGAGTGATTCCTTTTTATTAAAAATATCGGCGCAAAAGTGAGATAATAAATATGCCAGAAAAAGTAATCGGGAAAAGTTAAATAACCGTTATTTTGATCAGAAACAATACTGGTTTGTTTTGGTCATTGATCAGAACCGAAATAATGATACTAAACAACCAAAACCCAAATATCGCGCTCTTAGAAAATTTATGGAGTTATTAACAAGCTAGTGAATGATTTTACCAGGTTTCCGAGCCCTAGTTTTAGGTATTCAATTATCTGATCTCCCTTATGGTGTTAAGTAGATATTTCAGAAGTAATGAATGTTTTATTTCATTGAAGCTTTATGATGTCACAGCGCCCGACATCGAGTTCGAGATTGTTTTATAACGAAAGAGAATTTAATAAAATTATGTATGGTGTCTCTTTGTTTGACTTTTGATTCTTAGGAAATCCTCTAACAAATATACAGATGTAGGTTATTAGATACGCTCACTTGAATTATGGTATTTGATATGTGGATCAGTTCATCCGGATATAAGACGCTTAGAAGACTTAGCATCGGCTCGCTCTCACGCGTCTTACGGTATTAACAAGACAAAGAACATTCGTTGTTGCTTTTAGAATCACTGTAGTCAAATGAAAGATTTTAGCAGATGTATGTTTCGAAAAAGGAATATATTTCTAAAGCTTGTCATTATGAATTGGGTATGTTTTATTTATTTATCTGAATGGTCAGCTACGGTATTGCTGTACAAGCGTCCATGAAGGTTTAATGACGACTTAAAGCTCTAATTAATGTTATAAACTTAAAATGTATGTATCGGTAATACTAGTGCTATTTTTAATATGCAACTGAGTGATTAAATATAGTTTCGGCCGACATTATTCCCATAATACGCGCTGTCCTTTCTCTATAATCTCGCATTTTAAAAGATCGCGTACTCAAAACTTTTAAATAGTTTTCAACAAATAAAGTGTAAATCAGTTGTAATTAAAAACGAGAAAATATATTAGAGATATATTTTAAACGGTTTCGCCAAAGCAAAAACCGGAATTAAAAAAAAAATCTATAGAAAAAATTGAAGATGTATCTTTTGAAAAAATATGAAGGTACCCCTGATATTCACCATTTTTTATTATAAAAACCTAAATTTAAAAATAAATAGAGAAAATCTGTATTCAAAGGTACCCGTTAAATCACCGTTACTTTAATTTGTTGTTTTTTTTTCCGTTGGTTTTTTTATACGAAAATTTATAGGGTGATTCAAAAGGAAGGTTTTTATGTATAATACAAGACTACGCGAGTGAAGCCGCTGGCAGAAAGCTAGTGTTTTATTATTAAATAAGCCAGAGAAGCAAAATGACTCAACTTATCAGAATAAGTTGAGTCATTTTGCTTCTCTGGCTATCAGAAATCTGAATCATCATCATCAAAAATCTGTTCAGAAACAGAAACATGTACCTGTTCAATTGTGATTTTCCATCATCCCTCTCTTCAATCAAGAATGTAGTATTGTATAGTATGAAGTGTTAATGGAGTAGTAGCAAAATTCTACCAGCGGAAATTAAGGTCCGTGTGGTAATAAGGCCCACACGCACACATGCATAACACGGCGTATCTAATGGTGATATGTATGTGTGAGTAAAATTTGATAAGGAATAGTAGTGTATTAACGTGACAAATAGTACTTTATTACAACTCGGGCATTAATTGCCTTAAATATATAATTATAGAAAAGGAGCCATTCTAGGAAAACATGCGAAGTTAAAGCAAACTTCTTTCAGAACGGAGCAAAGTAGCCAAGTTAGTTATTACCTAACAGTTGCCACAGGGTTGCCTAATTTCATATCTTAGATCTAAAGCGTGATGGACGCGAGCAGACTTTATGGGCTTAAACTCAGGCAATTTAAGATAATCTCTTCAATTTGTCAGTTATTATGAAAAGTTTAACTGATGTTTATTAAAAAGGATGTTAAGATGGTCAGTGCCTACGATCTGCGATTACGGTGACAAAGTAACTTATGTTAAGGTTGGTCAAAAGATGGGTGACCACAAAATTTATTATGTCGTACTAATCCGTGCTTTGACACGCTTAGCCGTTGTTGTTGGCTGCGTGTGTTGTAAACACTCAGCAGTCTGCATCAGGACCGCTTTATGAATTAGGTATTCATTTATTCACAAATGCCTTTGCTGCAACAATAGGGATATGTTGAAGTCACCATATCCCTAAAAGACCTCTGCAATCACAGCAACCACGATGGCTTGGTCAGTGCTAATAATTGCATATGCAGCCGGGATCAATGGATTAACGTGTCTTCCATAGCACGGCAAGAGCTCAAGATATTAAATTTTTGGTCATCCATCCTATTACTGACCTGTGCAAATGTTGCTTAACTTCCACATGGCATACCGAACGCGTTACCAACTGTCCCATCGAGCTCATCTACGATATTTTACAACAACGTTAAAGGTATTAAGTTTTTCTTATTTATATTTGACATAATGTGCTGTCTCCTAATAAAGATTCTGAATCCATAAAATTAAGTTTGTTTTTTTTAGTTCATGATAAGATAAGATAAGATAAGATAAGATAAGATCTTTATTTGCCAGAACACAAGTCATTGAGGTCACAAATAATCAGACAAGTACAGTATTCTGCCTGCGGACAGGCGTGCAAATATTGTTATTATATTATTAACTTATTACATTTT